TTAAGGTTACTTCCACCTTCGCGGGTGTCCTCCGCGAAAAAATTCGTACGCGCGCTAGTTTCAAGAAAACCCTAGCAATACATCAAAAGAAAGCTTAATAAATGCAGTTTACGATAAAATATAAATTCGGCTGTTTTTTTCATTTAGGGAGTATCAGGCGCCGGTAAGGCGTCAAACGACAGAGGGTCCATCTATTGAATTTATCGGGTATCGGATCCCGCGACACGAGCAAAATGGCTGCACAGACAGTCTTCGGCCCGGATCAGACGCCGATCTTTTCATGAGCCGAACCTAATTCCTTGAATTAAGAATATGAAAAGATCGGCGTCTGAATCAATTCGGAACGGCTCACCCGTTCTTCCCGCCTGGCTTGGCCGAGAATTTCGCCTTTAGAACGCCTTTGGTGCGGCTTTAATTCAGACGCCGCACTTTTCATGTGCCGATCCTAATGCATAAATTGTTATAAATATAATGTATTTTGCAAGTACGGTGGCCCATAACTGTCACGGCGAAAAGAAATCGCTCACGGCGAAAAGAAATCGCTCACGGCAAAAAGAAATTGCTCACGGCGAAAAGAAATTTCTCACGGCGAAAGGAAATTTCTCACGGCAAAAAGAAATTACTCTCGGCGAAAAGAAATTACTCACGGCGAAAAAGAAAACTCAAAAACGCCTGGGTGGGGATTGGTTCAAGTTGGCTCGGATTGCGTCATGGGTTGAGGTGTTAAAAGAAAAAGGCATGTCCATTCCTATGTAAATGAGTGGTCGGGCATTCTGAACTTAAGCCAACACCAGATTTTCAGAAAAAAGTGGTTAAGTAAGTTCAAATCCCTTACGCACCTTTGCCACATTGAGAGCAAAACTTGTCTTTAAACACTACCCGCAGGTGCTGCAAAACATCGGGTTCCAAGATGGACAGATGGCGTGCTGCACCTCAACCTCTGGCTATCCGAGCAAACTCGAACCAGTCCCCACCCAGGCGTTTTTGAGTTTTCTTTTTCGCCGTGAGTAATTTCTTTTCGCCGAGAGTAATTTCTTTTTGCCGTGAGAAATTTCCTTTCGCCGTGAGAAATTTCTTTTCGCCGTGAGCAATTTCTTTTTGCCGTGAGCGATTTCTTTTCGCCGTGAGCGATTTCTTTTCGCCGTGACAGTTATGGGCCACCGTACTTGCAAAATACATTATATTTATAACAATTTATGCATTAGGATCGGCACATGAAAAGTGCGGCGTCTGAATTAAAGCCGCACCAAAGGCGTTCTAAAGGCGAAATTCTCGGCCAAGCCAGGCGGGAAGAACGGGTGAGCCGTTCCGAATTGATTCAGACGCCGATCTTTTCATATTCTTAATTCAAGGAATTAGGTTCGGCTCATGAAAAGATCGGCGTCTGATCCGGGCCGAAGACTGTCTGTGCAGCCATTTTGCTCGTGTCGCGGGATCCGATACCCGATAAATTCAATAGATGGACCCTCTGTCGTTTGACGCCTTACCGGCGCCTGATACTCCCTAAATGAAAAAAACAGCCGAATTTATATTTTATCGTAAACTGCATTTATTAAGCTTTCTTTTGATGTATTGCTAGGGTTTTCTTGAAACTAGCGCGCGTACGAATTTTTTCGCGGAGGACACCCGCGAAGGTGGAAGTAACCTTAAAGCTAACAATTAATGGAGAAAACAGTGGTGCAAAATAAAGTACGATACAATGCAAATAAAACAAATTGTACTCTTATCTGGCAAATTGAACTTCATTTAGTCCTAATACTAAATTATGGCATCTCTGGTTTAATACCATGTGCTCAATTTTTTGTAAATTTTATGGTCGACTATGGAACTTTTCTGAATATTTTGTACATTTTTTGGGAACAAGTATAAGAATGAGAACATGGTTTATATTTGTTGATAGTTCATTTGTTTCCATTCGTTCATTGCTGCTATAAAGTTATCATAACCTGCTCTAGGATCTTCTCCTGGCCTCTGAAGGTATCTCAGTGGAAATTTACGAATGGCAGAGACTTTGCTTGCTATTGAATGCAAGTGGTCCATACTGCAATTTGCAAACAGGTTCAGTTCCGGGATGAAATAGTGAGGACAAGAACAAGTCACCAAAGAATGTAACAAATCATCCAGCAGACCCAAAAAGCACGCTGCGACATTCTCATCTGACCATCTGTCTGGTGGGTACCTCTCACTTGCCCAGAGAAGGAGAGTCTTTAAGTGATATGTTGTTAGAAGCTTGCAGGTCAAGGAAATATTTTCTTTGATGGCCATTTTGAACATGCGGTAGCAGTAGTTTCTGTTTCCAAGACCTTTGGCTCTCATCAGTTTCACTTCAGCTGTGGAGAAAGAAATGCGCCACTCAAGTTCTTCATTGCCTCCTGGAGATGCCTTTGGCACAAGATGAAAGCCCCCTTGGACAATTTCCTGCTTCAGATCCTGTGGAGGCCAAACTCTTTTCCTTTCAAACCATTCTTGGCAGCATTTTGGCCAGCTGGTAAACTTTATTGCAGGAACCACGTCATATGATGATGAGGGGCTCTCTTCATCCTCGAATGTCTCATCAGTTTGAACAGCTGGCCCATGGGGAGCCACTTTAATTTCAAAATCTTCCATTTCTGGTTCTTTTCCTGCAACCTCATCTGAATACCTCTTGAAGTCATGAAGTATTTGATAAATCTCGCTTCTGAACTTTGCGGCAGACAGATAATACTCGGAATTTCGTAATGTCATTAGCTTTAACAAATCTTCATCACGGTCATCTGAGAATGAGGGAACCTTGACATAATAATATCCTGGGTATTTTGTTTCAGTAATGCACTGGTGTTGATCTTTAAGTCCCAAAGCAGTATGCGATACACTCATCATAATGTCATACTCGGGATTGACAGTTAGCACTCTGATCCTATCCTCAAAGCTTACGTCCGGGACTTGTGCAATTTCAACCGAGCTTCCAGTCAAATCAAGCTGCCATTTTAACCAAGATACACTAGGGTTATCCCGCAAAACTCCTTTTAGTAAGGCTTCGAATGTTGCTATATTTTGAAGCCGGCCGGCGAAGTAATTCCAGTCTTGATCCAGACAAACGAGAAATATCTCTACAAGTCTTTCTTGTAGCTCGCCAAGATCAAGACCAGAAACAAAGTCTGTAACTTTCTGAGCTCTACTTGCAGCTCCGTGCAGATTTTCTGTTTTCACTAAAACATTTCGGCTTTGTTCTTCACTAACTACCTCAATTTCCTCTCGACTACTAAACCCAAAGTCGCTTATATACTTTTTGAAAGCGTTATTGGCGTCAACGTATGAAATGGCAAGCTCGTTCTGCCTAGATGGATCGCTTAAGCTCTCAGCGAACTTGACCAAAAACCGGAAGGGATTTTCACTTCATTCGCTAAACCAAATCAAATCATTTACCCCGAATTTCCACTCCATTAGGTATTTTTAACGAAAGCAAGCCCTAACCGCTGGTTGAATTGGGGTTTCTCGACGATGGGTTTAAAGTTTTCTCCCCTTTTAGCGTTTCCAGTTCGTCGGTCAACAAGTGTATCCCACCGCCATCTTGAATTGAACGTATTCTGAAGAGGACTGGACGGAATAATTATGTGGAAGAGATTTGGAGCGAGATGGTTGGCCTTTGTTGAACTATATATGGCGAACAAGTAGCGAAAACTCGGCGTATGACTCTTCCATGAAATGACCTGATACGTGTGGGGCCAATTATTTTACATTGGGACTTACAATAAAATTAGTTTTCATTTAAATAAATTTTCAGATACTCTCCCTCTTACTCAAATTGGTCTTGTCTTAATTTGAGCTTACATGACAGGTGCTTTATAACTGTCTTACTGTACATTTGAGTGAGAGGCCATCTGAGTTTGTGCCCATCGAAAGGGTATATATGTTTTGTTTTGTGCTCAACAGAAGTTCTTGTTTGAACTTTGCATATTAGCTTTTAAAAATGAAGAAACATCAAATATGTGTTTCATTCCTGCATCTATTAATAAAAGTAATATTGTTTTATTGAGGTGTGTACTGGTATTCAAACAATTTTCCTGTGGTAAGGGTTGAAGTTACTGGATACATAGTAAGCATAGATGTAAGAGAAAAACTTACAACCTATGGAGGTAAGTACATTTTGATGGTTATCAAACTTGAATTTACACTGGACATTCTTTTAGCATGTGTTGATGCAAATTTCAAGTGAGTGTGAAAAGCTATTCTGAATTGCTTTCTTTTTCTTCATTTTGCTCTGTGATTGGTCGGAAAAAAACTTCATCCCTTTTAATCAGTCAGATTTAAGAGTAAACAAATCACTACTTGGTCACTTGTTTTTTCCTAGGCTCCAAGCAGTTTACTTGTTTTTATTACTTTCTTAATGGTCTTTAGTGGTCATTTCCTTTCCTTTGACTCACTGTTCTGATTACTTTGGGTTTGGTTTTATGACACAAAATCAGCACACCCTCTTTAATCCACTCTTGGGGTCTAAAAGAAATTTTAAGTATGATTTAGCAAAACAATTCAACAAACGAATTGTAAAATTAATATACCACAATGGTCATGTCTGCTAGTTTCTTTCTTATGATTGTTTACAAGACATGTTTGGAAACCCCTTTACTGTAAAAATGTAGTATTTAAAATGAGAATAAAATTTCTAAGCATAAAATCTTTTTTTAGGATATCAGCAGGAATTGTTTAGTGGGAAAAATAATATCTTTCCCAATTGGACAGCCAGCCAACCAAAACATAGGGCCTGCCCTGCATAGCACAAATAATTTTCAAATATTTAAACACCAGGTTCAAACACATGCGGTTTGAAGAAAATGGCAAAGGAACAGGTCACTGATTATTCCATCTCTCCATTTTCAATTGAAATGAAGACTTGCTCTTCAAGTACTTTCAGGTCATCCCTCCCTCCTTTTTTGATAATTTCTGCCTCTCTTGGTCCTTGCCTAAACCATGATCCTTTTCCCACTATCCATCATAGCAAAATGAGGTTGTTTTCATTAATTTTTTTTTTCATTATTTTTCATGATGAACTGTGTAGTTGATGATGGGAGTGGCACCATATCCTGTTGTAAGTGGCACTCCCTTGATCTGAAAGCAGGCAGAGGGCAAGAATCATATGACCTTGGTCAGCTGGTGACAGTGCAGGGCAAGATTTCTGTTTTCAGAGAGCAGAGGCAACTCACTGTTGATCTGATCTGTATCCAAACATTTTATCTGAATTATATTCCTTTGTTGTCTTGCATCCTGCATATGGTAAGATAGTAAATTAAATTAGCTGCAGTGAGACATCTATTGAAATAGTTTCAAGGACCAATTTTGTATGGAAAGGTAGTTGTTACCATGAAAAGGGTCAAATAAAGATTGTAAATAGGATCTTTTCACTGATATGGGCTTTAAGATATTTTTATGACCAATATAAAACCTGCAGCAAAGAGCTATAGAATATTATCAAGCATTTATTGATGCTCCCTGACTCACGAGTTGAATAAATATGTGCTTTTCTTCTCCCACCATATCAAGTGGGTGGGTATTATGCCCAAGTTATGTTAAATTGTCTTCCTTGGGTTTGTCAGCTGTTCCAAACTATTTAAGGATCCAAAAATTCTCTTCCAAATAAATCTTATCAAGGGTTGCTACATTAAATAAGGTTCTTTGATAACTGTCTTCTCTTGTTCTCATGGAGTTAATAGCAGCAACCTGGTGATGTTTGCCCCCAGTCCTGGAATATTTTAGGTGCTATTGCAGGAAGGAATGCAAAGAACATTTCAACTGCCAGATTAATGATAACAGGACAGTCTGACAGTTTTGCATCCCCGTGATTTACATATTTTGATCACTGATCTTCATTCAAGACTTTTGTGAAAAACTTTTGCGTTTAGTTACAAAAACCATTTTGGAACAATTACCTTGTATTAAATAACAACACTTAACTGTGATCAGATCCAGAGACAGATCCTAATGCTGAAGTCCTCTTCTGGCTAGAGGCAGTCAATCTCAGTAACACTGTCTACAAAGAACCATTCAATCCTTCACTCGAAGAATTTCATGCAAGACATAACCCTGTATTGAAGGAAACGGAACTGAAAAGAGCTATTTTGACACACATTAAGGAAAATAAGATTGTAGCATTCCAGTTTCAGAACTTATGCTTTGAACCTGATATACAACAACTGGCAAGGGAAGCAGCAAAGCAAAAATGTACCAGTGAGGTAGGTTTAGGGTAACCAAGTGCCATACAAGATTTTGGGGATACAAGATAGAATTGCATAATTGAATGAAATCTCATATTCTGATTGGTCAACAAAGTGCGGTATTTAGTGTGGAATTGTGAGTTGAAAAAGAGGCTAAATGATAATATTGTTTTGCATCTCTTGTTTTGCACTCAGGATAAAAACAAACAATAAGGAAAATCCATTACCTGACTCATGAATTCTGCATTAAATTGCACTTGAAAACAGATATTGCACTCATTGCTTCGCAATTCATGTGATATCCGTTTTGGAGTGCAATCAAAGCAGAATTCAGAATTTCCTCGACTAACAGTCACCTATTAACCAATCAGATAGAAAACTAAAATTGTATTATTATGCCATTTTTCATTTGCATGTGCTTCTGGCAGTTGGCTTACTCTGAACTTGTAGTTTTGCCGCTGGCTCACTGCATCGTGACTTTATTAAAATTACTTTCTTTGGGTCATTGAAATCAACATTTGATTATGGAGTGGTCAAAATAATGGCCAAGGTTATAACTTGACTTTTTCTTTGCTAGGGGTACTAAAGTGACTACTGTATTATACAGTGGAACTCTAAAATCCAGATCCTAATCAAACTTTTGATTTCTGAACTCCTCTTCCTGACACATGGTGTAGATCTCATACTAATTTCATTGCTGAAATCTTTTTTCTCTTTGTATTCCCTTTCAGGAGAAAGCCAAAAAATGGGATGGCTATCATGAAGCAACAAAAATAATCCGGCAAATAATCAAAGATTTTGAGAAAGATGGCATGGTGTATCTTAAAGATTCAAGAAAAGATCTCTATCAGGTAGAAGACTCTTTCTCCTACCAATTCCAAACTGTATATTTGATAAGTAGCTCCCTAGACAGGAATTCTTGAAAATCAGAGAATATAATGACTGGCAGTGTTTTCATTGACATTTAAAAAGTACTTGTTCTTCTCTTTGACTGGACCTTGTGTTCATTAATATTTTTCTGTAGGTTATAAGTCATGAACACAATCTTGGATCAGCCATTTTGAAAGCAATGGGAAAAATTTCAGGTAAAGTGCAAGAAAGAGATTGAATTTACTCAAACAATTGCTATCATCGTAGAATGTTTGGTTGGTTAGTCAGTCAGTCTGTCTTTCTATCTATCTATTTACCTCAGTAGCCAGTTTAACAGTCAGTGAGTCAGTGAATGAGTCAGTCAAGCAGTCAGTCAGTGAGCTAGTCAGTCAATGACTGAGTCTGAGTCAGTCAGTTTGTCAATGAGTCAGTCAATCAGTAGTCAGTCAGTCACTAAAGAGCTAGACTAATTTTTGAACACAACCTGTTATAATTACATATCAATTTAATTTTGGCCATAGTATATTATTGTAATTCTTCATTACAGTTTTTCGTCTATGTAACAGAGAATGTGTGTCTTTAATCCTATGGTTTCAACATAAGCCTTCAACATAAGCCTTCAACTCCCAGAAGTTATTATCCTGATCTAATAATAATTCTCATTACTAAATTCACAAGGAAATTTGTAGGGGAGAATTAACAAAAATATCTTGGGAGTTAAAAGGGTTAAGCCAGTAAATCAGTCTAAGTGAGTCAGTGAGTGAGTCAGGTAGTGTGTAAGTGAGTCAGTCTTTCTGTCAGTTACTTTGTCAATTAGTCAGTGAGTCATAGTGTGATTGAGTGCATTACTCAGTCAGTCAATGAGCAAATGAGTCAGTTAGTGCCATGGTGCATCAGTGAGTCAGTCTGTCAATGAATGAGGGAGTCAGTCAGTCAGTCAGTCAGTGCCTTGGTGCATCGGTGAGTCAGTCTGTCAATGAATGAGGGAGTCAGTCAGTCAGTCAGTCGC